AGACCTGGTTGCTCGGGGTGTTTAGCACATCCTGTCCGCTCAGTGATAATCATAAGTATCTCCTTTCTTTTTAATCTTTTACTCTATCCAGCATTGTTTACATCTGTCAAAAGCTGACCTGCGATTCCTCTGTACAGGGGTCAGCATACTTTTTTACATGAAGTGCCATGTCAAACAAAAAGTGTTGGTACACTTAAAACACAATTAAAAATGTATACATTTGCATACAGTATTCAAGTGTTCTAATGTTTAAAAGCTTTTCACAAATGTGTCTAAGCCATTTTTGCTGTTGATTTTGACTGAATGGTTCCAAAGTGATTTTTAATGGACGCATAAAATCAGCTATGGATATGTTCTACTATTTTTTGACAACCAAAAACAGTCCAAATACTTTAAACCGTATCTATTTTTTTTATCATTTGAAATTAAGCTCCTTTATATGAAATGTTTTGCTTAAAAGGTGGGACCACTGTAATAATACTACACTATTGAAGTACTATCCTTTTATTTTACATGGTATTTGTTATATGCAAAAAAACCCCCATCTAAACAGCAGACCGAAATGTGTCATTGCCGCAGCTCTACTGTGGGTCTGAGTGTGACTGTGCGACCCTCAGGACAGCAGATTTGTTTTGTAAAGTCTTCCAGTTTTAGTACAGCACAGATCATTTTCTAGTTTGCACTGTCTGTTGGATGCACAAGTAAATTGAAAAGATCTCTGCGCTGTTCAGTGAGCTGTGCAAGTAAACAGATCCGCTCTCCAGTGATTCAACTCAATAGTGCAGTTTCGTCCCACTTTTGGAGCATTTGGCTTCCCAACAGTCTATCATTACAAAGAAGGGTTGCTGAAAGATGCATGCAGATATGATTGACTTCAGCATTTCCAAACTAAACAACTAAATAAAATTATATGCATAATATTCTTCTCACTCCTCTCTTATTGCTTGCATTCCAATGATTACACCTCCGAGTTCCAATGGCAGCAAGCAACCTTGCCCAAGTTCCCTGCCGATCCTTTCTTCGTAGTCTTTCTTCACAGCCTTATTACCCGCATTCCCTTAAATTCTTCCTCTCATTTCTCTCTGCCATTCCCACTCTCTTTCTCTCTTATCTATGTCCCCGTGACCACATGATTAAAGCACTCCTGCCCATGTCACAGTGAGGCAGCACAGTAATAATGCCTGACCTTTTGAACAAAGGCCATGTGAATGCACTCTCAGGCAGATCAGAATGAAGAGTCCTTCAGAGACATGGACTTGCCTGAAACGTCACTGACTCAGGCGCACCTTTCTTAGGCCATTCAGCTTCTTCAAAATGCTGCTGCACAGGGGTTATTTCATGTTGGAAAAATGTTCTCTCTTCCTAGCCAAACACTTTACTCTCCTGGCTCTGTGGTCTCTGTCATCGTTATGTTGGGATGTGTGTGTGTGTGTGTGTGTGTGTGTGTGTGTGTGTGTGTGTGTGAGAGTGTGTGAAAGTGTCTGTGTGTACGGCCAAAAGGGAGTGAGAACAATGTGAAATTGTAGATGTGGTGATTTTTTAAAAATGTTGAAAGGTCAATGAGATGCTCATGCTGTAGATGAAGAGGCTTGAAGAGAGGTGCCTTTGTTGTTTTATCCATGAAGGGCCATAAACCATTTTTTATGAAAGATAAAAGCACAAATTTTGATTGGCTGATGAGGTGAAAGGGGCCCAGCTGAGGGTACTTATGAAACCATCAAAAGTGGTGGACTTACAACATTTTTTTTGAAGAATAATATTCCATTGTTCTTTTTAATATAAGTAGTTAGCAGTGTATAATTGCATGAATTGATGTCACATAAACTAAATCCATTGAATGCTTAGTTATCAAATTGTCTGTAATGCGTGTTCAGGATATTCATAAGTGAGATGGGTTATCATTATTTGGCATTGAGCTAAATGAGAGTTTTCCAATTCTGTTTCTGGACATCTACCGTCCTGCAAAGTTCAGCTCCAACCCTAATCAAATACACTTGAATTAGCTAAATAAGATATTCAAAAACACTTAATAATTACAGCAAGGTGTGCTGGAGAAAGGCTGGATCTGAACTCTACAGGATGGTAGATCTTCAAGAACAGGATTGGGCACCTCTGAGATAACTTTAAGAGAATTCAGTTCTTAAAGCTTTGATGAAACTGAAGTAGCAACAGACCGTTTCTTCCATATTCACCAGAGAGAAGTCTGTTGTTTCTCTGAAAGATCAAGTCATTACATTTAAATTAAGAATTACGAGTTCACATTTTTAAAAAATGAAACAAATGCTTAGAAGAATCATTCGGAATAAGATCAATATTATGCAGTTAGAGAATAGTTCTTGAAACAGCTAACACCAACCAGTGGCAGACCCTGCCCACGTTTGTTTTGAACTTATCTGTCAATACCGTGCCTATGAATAGGTTTGTGTTGATAAAATGGTACAAAAAAATTTATAAAAAGGTTTTTCTGCTGGGTTTATCTGTGTGTGTTCTAATAGATGATATGATGCTTTTTTTGGAAGAAAAGTATTGACAGGAATAGTCTGTGATAAAACAGTACTCATTAATACCACTGTGGAGATATCAGCCATGTTTTGAAATCTAAAGCTGAATATATAGTTTTAATCGGATTGCTTGAATGAGGTTAATGTAAAATTAAATATATATGACAGGATCTGTAAAATATGTATAGAATTTAAAAGAAAATTCACTCTCTCAGCTTTTGTAGTGATTGTCAGATTCTCTCAAAATGGGTCAACAAGCAACTGAAGAAAGCCAGCAGGATCAGTTTGCGTAGTGTATCATGTCCTATTATTAGTCCTTGTTCGTTTGTTGCCTCCAAATGTAATGTTTCTAAATCTTGAGTGGGATTATTAGTGTGAATATGTCCATCCCTAGTCTATGCTTACGGTAATTAAACATTAGTCCAATTTTGTGTGCCCTTATCATCCGTAACATCTTCAGGTCTAGACACTCCATTGGGAAATTAACTTTATTTAATGAAAAAAATCCTGTTAGAAATATCGCTGGAGTCAACAAGACCTCCAGTGTGTTTATAATCCTGACACTGCCTGTTTATTAATTTTCCCATGCAGAAAGGGCTTGATTACTTTCAGGACATGCAAAAGTTTCTTTATACGGTCCTTCTTGTGAATTCAGATGTGAAATATTTGGTTGTACCCATCAAATGATGTCATACCCTTGAGGGTGTCACATAAACGTCAGGTATATCATTTATAATCTGAGGTTGTATTTTCAGTGCAAACAAATCAACCTCAGATGAACTTTGCAGAACATTTAGTAGTACACTTCATCACTTTCTTCCGTGAACTTTCTTAAAATGCTACTCATTAATGTAGGAGTAAATCTGAGGGGGGTGTGGGGGGGGGTTGCGTGTTATTTGCTTAGCTGAGAGTGAAAGGACGATGCCGCAGCTGTTCTCTCTGATGCAGCGGAGAGCACTGCTGACTCAGATTATAGCTCCCTTATGGTGACAGTAACGCATGTGAGCCCCCTCACAATGGCGTGACTTTTCTCTTTTCTCATTAAGTTGAAAATAAGGTGGGAGTGTGTATGTGTGAGATGGAGAGAGAGGAGGAGGAAAAACAGAAATCGAAGAGTGGGTGAACAGAAAGATGGGCGAGATTGAGGAGGAGAGAACAAAAGAAATGGAGAAATGGCCATAGGGACTGTCAAAACGGGGAGTAGACAATTCAATGTCAAATGAGTGATTGTCAGGCAAAATGTTGCCACAAACGCAAAGGCCCTCTAAATAAAGATATATTTTTACCCTGGTCCATGGAGAGTGCTGCAAAGTGCTTACGCTGCTGAAACAGGAGAGAGCTTTAAAATGCTCCCTGGACACAGCTAATGGCTCCCTAACCTGCTGTTCATTGTTTTGTTATTCTGACGATACATGCAAATTTTGGAGGCTCGAGACTAATGTGTTTGGGCTGTCGAGCTGCGGTTCATTAGAGTCCTTTTGATCTGTGTGTTTCCATGGAAAAGGCCATTGAAGGATGCAAGAAAAGTAAATTATGGCATGTTATGTAGCTTTTAGGTACAATTGTCTTACATCTGGTGTGGTCTCACATGACCTTCCTGACATTTAGTCTTTGTCCATTTAAAAGCAGTTTGTGTGCTCGATGGATTGTTGCATAGTTAGTTGTATTATGTCCATACATGGGTGATGTATGAAAAGCAGTTTGTAATTGGTTGAACATTCCTCGCTTTACAACTGAAGGCCATAGAAATACTTTTTTTTTCAGTCTCTTTCGTCCGAACTGAAAAGGGGCTTGACCTTTAGCAAATGGGTATTCTTGCCTACGACACTGAGCAAAAACTCATAAGACTAAAATTACCGCTGCTGACGAGATTTGAATGAACTGTCTGATTCAGCTGGTACTGTCACATGATGTACCTGATTACAACATTTCTCACATCTAAACCTTTTCCCGACTTTGGTTTTGAATCCTATTATGTAACTCAAGATCTTGGAGGAGTGTAAAATTCCTGACATTCCAGACATTTTCAAACATGAAACATATTGAAGTGAATTCATTCAAAACAGACTGGGGTCAATGACTGACTGGCACTGACAATGTAGGCAGATGAAAGGCAGACTACATGTGACAGCTTGCAAGACTCAATACTTTAATTAACTCTCACAAACTGGGCGTTTTTGCAGAGAGCAGATGTCTACATCACGCTGCAATATGAGACTCTGCCAATACAATTAAAAGAGAGATAAAGTTGTTTCATTTCAGATTTGAACCCCATTAATGAGCTCAAATTGTATTTTTAGTAAATTGTATTCTGTAAAACAAATAAAATAATATTTAGTATTTAGTGTATGCATTAAAATAATATAATCATATTTTTAAAAAATCATGTAATACTATTTATTTAAGACTGAATAAACACTTAAACAGCTCTTTTGCATTTCAAATGAAGAACCGAAGGTTTTGGGTTGTAACTTAACTTTTGATTATATTTTTCTCCAGATTACTGCGAAGAGCCACTGGTGACATCCCTACCCCCAGCTTCTTTCCAGAACTCATCAAAATTCTCTGACAGAAGGTCACCACACTATGCTAAACTCAACAGAAGAGAAGGTATGTGCTCCTGTCGTGTTGTTCTCCTGCCCTCTTTGTACCAAATAATATCCACAGTTGTCTGTGTTTATGTGACTAGAGAATTAAGCAGAAGGGAAATTTGTCCTTGTCAGAAGAAAGTGTTGACGTAAAGCTTTTCTATGAATACCTAACGTAATGCGATTTAGCTTACACAAACTCTGCAAAAAAAGTATTAGAAAACTTTATACTTTCCTTGGAGGAGATGTATCAGTCTTCCGGTGTCCATGAGCAGTACTGATGTGAAAAGCTCTGTTGATTAGCTGTGCCTGAAGCAACATTTTGAGATTTTAAGTAATTTCTCAAGTGTGACAAGACAGAGACAAACATAAATCTCTAATGACAAAATGCAATAACCACTCAAAATGTAAATACAGACTCAAAGGAAGGTAATTGAATCGAAAGAAGTTTGGAAGTTTTAGTAATCAAATGTAATTTGTCAAGGGTTTTTTTCTCCCTTAATGCTTGGTGTAAGTTAATATTCGATTCCATGTTAACAAATTCTCATTTTATTAAGTGTTTGCACATTTTTATCCAACAGCTATGATTTTCCAGGGCTGCCAAAAGCATAAGCCTAAGTAGATCATAAAAATCACTGGCACCAGGTAATGCGATTTAGCTTACACAAACTCTGCAAAAAAAGTATTAGAAAACTTTATACTTTCCTTGGAGGAGATGTATCAGTCTTCCGGTGTCCATGAGCAGTACTGATGTGAAAAGCTCTGTTGATCTCAAAAGCAACATTTTGAGATTTTAAGTAATTTCTCAAGTGTGACAAGACAGAGACAAACATAAATCTCTAATGACAAAATGCAATAACCACTCAAAATGTAAATACAGACTCAAAGGAAGGTAATTGAATCAAAAGAAGTTTGGAAGTTTTAGTAATCAAATGTAATTTGTCAAGGGTTTTTTTCTCCCTTAATGCTTGGTGTAAGTTAATATTCGATTCCATGTTAACAAATTCTCATTTTATTAAGTGTTTGCACATTTTTATCCAACAGCTATGATTTTCCAGGGCTGCCAAAAGCATAAGCCTAAGTAGATCATAAAAATCACTGGCACCAGTGATCTCTTCAGTCTACTTATGATTACAATGCTTTTGGGAAACGCAGCCCTGGTCAGTTTTGTTATTTAGAAGGTTTACGCTGAGTTATTGTTCTAACATGAATTATGAACATTTTGTCGTCATTTGCTTACTATCATGTTGTTAAAAAAACCTGTATGACCTTTTTTTCTACTGTGGAACATAGCATATAATACTTTGTCTTTTTTTTTTTATCCATACAATCGAAGTCAGTCATCACCAAAACTTTTTTGGTTACCATACCAAAATTCTTTAAAATATCCTTTGTATTTCACAGAATAAAGGAAGCCATATGGGTTTTTGAAGGTGCGTTAATGTTAATTGAATCCATTTACAGTAAATCAGAAATGCCAGTGGATGCATGTTCCTGATCAACAGCAGCCCCAGAAACCATCAGGAATCAAATCCAGAAGGAGTATAATAGCTGCTCTTGATTTACTTAATGATTCTAAAACACTCACAAACTAACTATTGTGCCAGACTGGACTTTGGCAAAGCACGGGGTATAACAAGAGGACTGTCTAAATTATTACAAAGCAAACGTGTTGTGGTTTTTACTTCGGGGAGGTGGAGAGCAGTTTGATTAATGCAACCTTCCAATCAGCAGCTGATTACAGTCTGTAGAAGCACTTGAGAAAACTCCCCAGCCAATTAAGCAGTTAAGCATAGACATGCCATAAATACCAGCTTATGCTGAGGCCCTCTGAGAGCTTTGTTTTGTGCACTGTAAGATGTTTGTCCTCATGGCCCAAACACACTCCAAGAACTTCCTTATTATACTTGGTTGCAAATGATCACACTACCAAACTCTGTAGTGGATTCGTAACTTTTTGGATCAATGGTATCTTCCAGCGGTAATAAGTGGGGCTACGATATGTCGGCTTGTCCCTGTCACCCTCAAGGCATTTCTTTTTCTCATCTTGCCTCTTGCTTAGTAACAGCAGGAGGTTTCCTTTGGCTGTGAAACACAGACAGGCAGCCCGTTCCCAGTCACTGCCAGCCTGATCCAAACATGTACAGACACCAAATGTTGTTACCTTTAGATCTATCCATCTATGCATGATCTGTCTCTAACGGTCATTAGAATACAAGATATGTAAATTGTAATTTATGTCTGTGCTTATAATTTGTGTCCGTTTAGAATTTCTTTAATAAATCAAATAAATTATTAATTCTAAAAATAAATTTTATGGATGCACATACTGTATAGGAATGTATTATCTGCCTCCTCATGGAGCCTGCACTGAAATGTAATAAGCTCAGAGTATTCACCCTTACCTTTTGCGAAAATCTTCACAGATGATATGTACCCAGTCACTGAACAGCACTGATGAAGCATTTATTATCTGACCATCTTGTCCTGACTTGCCCTGAAGCAACCCTGTCATACTTGACCTTGAGGGTATCCTTTTTCCACCCCAGCTTGATGTCCTCTTGAAAAACAGCTTTAACTTTAGCAAGGTGTGTGTGGTATTGACAAAAAAAATGTATCTCTATATGTTCTCCTATTTTGTCGATTACGATAGCTAGACTGGTTTAGGTCTGTCATGGACAGCTGACTCCCGAAGCTTTTCATGTTCTTCATATTCTGTGCGGTGGTTAGTTCAGGTGAGCGTGATTTGACCAAGTACAACATGTTCCTGGATCAACATCCTTGTTGATCCTGGAACATCATTCCAATCAACCAATCAGAATTGAGAGATAACTTTTCAGGAAATGTCCATTTTAAGCTTACAATCAGGATTAGGTGCTTCTACGCCCTTGTTAATCAGCTATCATTTCCCTTTGATTTTAGGAATAAATTATGGGTAAGGTTAGGTTTAGGAGGGGGGGATTGGGTTAAGTCTGTATTTTTGGACAGTAATGTTGATCCATGATCAACAAAAGATGTTGATCCAGGAACATGTCTTACTTGGCAAAATCACGGCGACCGGTTAGTTCACATCAGTGATAGAAATGAACTTTTTAATTTTTACCATTATAATACCAATTTTTATAATCTTATTTAGATGTATGCATTTTATGTCAAAATCCTAATCAATAAATTCAATTAGAATAAGACACTGTTACCAGTCAAATGAAATCTGTATCAACTTAAATCCATCTTTGCACTTCAGAAGTGGCACAGAAGCTAATCTGAAGTAACATTTAGAACAGCCTGTTTAATGCAGTTCAGAGTTGGCTTAGATGCATTAACATTGCTTGTACAATCACATAAGCAATGCTATGAGATTGTTTTTTTTAATGAATATTCAGTTTATTTGTTCTTTATAAATTATTTAAAAATATATATTTTATAATGTTTTCTGAGGTGCAGTTTTAATGTTAGTATGTTTTTTTTTTGTCATAATTTAGATATAAATAATTTTTTACCCTCAATTTAGCCCTCTGATTTGAATACAGATTCATTCATTAATGAAGCACCACTATGGCTATGTACGCACTGCAGCTAAATTCGGTTGTCAGTTCACCTTTTACTCCTTAATCGCGTTCTGTACACACATAATTCTCTAAAATACGGGGAGTGACAACCGCATTTGACAACCGTATTAACTCCTGAAAAAAACAGGTACTGACAACCGCATTTACTGAAATTCTATGCTGTGTGTTTGGAACCGAACTGAACAGTCTTTGCACTTCAGAAGTGGCACAGAAGCTAATCTGAAGTAACATTTAGAACAGCCTGTTTAATGCAGTTCAGAGTTGGCTTAGATGCATTAACATTGCTTGTACAATCACATAAGCAATGCTATGAGATTGTTTTTTTTTTATGAATATTCAGTTTATTTGTTCTTTATAAATTATTTAAAAATATATATTTTATAATGTTTTCTGAGGTGCAGTTTTAATGTTAGTATGTTTTTTTCTCCATCAGAAACGGTCATAATTTAGATATAAATAATTTTTTACCCTCAATTTAGCCCTCTGATTTGAATACAGATTCATTCATTAATGAAGCACCACTATGGCTATGTACGCACTGCAGCTAAATTCGGTTGTCAGTTCACCTTTTACTCCTTAATCGCGTTCTGTACACACATAATTCTCTAAAATACGGGGAGTGACAACCGCATTTGACAACCGTATTAACTCCTGAAAAAAACAGGTACTGACAACCGCATTTACTGAAATTCTATGCTGTGTGTTTGGAACCGAACTGAACAACTAGTTGTTAATGATGTCACGAGAAGCACGCCGATGTGCGTGTATTGTCAGGTGTCAAGTGTTTACCTCAGATCTGACAGGATGGCGGCGAGAGGTGTATTGTGGACCGAGCAGTTGCGGTCAAGAGAGTGTAGGCAACAGCTTAAAGAACAAAACTAGACTACGACACCTCTCCCGACGACAGTGATTAAATAACATTTTGTAGATTGTTGCATGTCTTTGCAATCTAACGTTTGTTTTGTCAACAGCAGCTAACACAAAACTAGCTAATCTGCGGGCCTCCATTCTCTCTGAGACACCACAACGTTGCTATGGATATCACCCTGCCACATTTAAATGCAGTTGTCACTCCTATGTCACTAATATATTGCTTAACTATATCATTTGATATAAATAGAAAACAAACCCCCAGGGGGTAAATAGCACTGTATATCTTGAGTTTCAGTGGAATTATAACAGTATGAAAATAAATTACAACACGCTCGCACATCGTTAAAACAAAAATTACAGTGTTTCCCCTAGGATTTTTTTCCAGCTGTGGTGGCAGGACTGTTTCCCATGGACCACGCCCCCTTTCCCCGGGTGGTTAAGCCTCCCCACCCAAAAATCACGTGCACTCAGAATTTAATTTGTTTTAGTAATAAAATAACAAATAAATGACAAGCAATAGCACAAAAAAAAAACAAGATACAAGTGAAATAAACAGTACTTTAATTTTTCCAGGTAGGTCTAACAGAAATATTTAGGTACAGAATTACTACAGTAATTGAACTCAACTGTATTAAAAAAAATTAAATAAAGACTGAATTCAACTGTAAAATATCACTGGATAGTCTTCACGGTCTAAATAAACCATAATAACAGACAGCAGCATGTTTATGTAGGCTGCTGTCTCTTTAAGACCTCATGCACGGATGTAATATACTGTTACACATGCATTTTGACATAATTTATGTATTTGGCTGTTTATGCACAATAAGGTGCAAAACATAACTCAATTCTGTACTTTATGTGCGCGTGCTTTGGTTGTGGGCGCACAGAAAATGGTCTACAACCTAAGTACTGTATTGAGATCTCTTTCCCTCTTTTGGTGCATAATTGGCTTAAAGGCGCTTGAATGTTTAAATTGGCAAGACTTAAAAGCACGTGCAAATGATACATTCCATCATCTGACGTCGCATTATAAGCGCGGAACCTGCGGGAATGAGTAGAATTATGTGCAATACCCGCACTGAAATTCAAATCCTTCTCCGTTTCCTCTGCTAATTCCTCGATTGTGAATGATGTCACTAAGAAGCTGAACAGCATGAAACAATTACAAAATAAAAAAGACATGAAAACATGAACATGAAACAAAACCCAAACACCAAACCCCACATTACATACCCCCCCTCTAAGGGCGGCTCCAGACGCCCAAACAAAACCCAAAAAGTCCAGGAGGGTGGTGGAGTGGAGGCGGAACTGGGGGAGGGATGGAGGGCCAGGCCCGTGAAGGGGAACAGGCAGAGCGGGGAGCCATGGCGGAGCAGGCAGATCGGACAGCCATGGCGGAGCAGAAACATGGACAGACCACTTGACTGTGACGGAGCAAGCAGAGAGTTCTTGAATGGACTCCTTGGCCGTGAAAGGACAGACAGTGAGTTCATGAACGGCCTCCATGGCCGTGACAGGGCAGACTGTGAGTTCATGAACGGCCTCCGTGGCCATGGCAGGACAGTCTGTGAATTCGTGAACGGCCTCCGTGGCCGTGACAGGACAGACAGTGAGTTCGAGAACAGCCTCCGTGGCCGTGACAGGGCAGACAGAGTTCGGAAGTGGACGCCACCACCTCAGGAGGTTCTTCAGCGGACGCCGCCACCTCTGGAGGTTCTGCAGCAGAAGCTACCACTTCTGGAGGCACTGGATTGGATTCATGGACAGGACAGGCCTTTGGAACAGACTCATGGATAGGAGAGGCCACTGGGGCAGATTCATAGACAGGAGAGGCCTCTGAGGCAGACTTGTGGACAGAAGAGGACTCTGGAGCGCAGTGTGCAGCCCACACTCTCAAAATGGCGACCGCCATTACAGGAAGGGCAGCAGAGTGTGGCAGGACCGCTAAGATGGTTGGGCTTGAGAGCACTGACGTCAACAGGATGCCTTGAGCTCTCACCGACATCAGTGGTAAGTCCATCACGCTAGCTATCAGTCTTGGCCTAAGCTCTGCGTCCGACTCGGGCATGGCGGCCATATTGGCCGGGGACTCAGGCATGGTGGCCATCTTGGCCGGGGACTCAGGCATGGTGGCCATCTTGGCCGGGGACTCAGGCGTGGTGGCCTCTGAAATGAGCAGACTCTGAAATGTCGTGACTAGACTCTGGACGATCAGCTGCGATGTGACGAGCCTCTGGATGATCAGCTGAGACGTGACGAGACTCTAGAAGAGCGGCCATTTTGTGAAGAGACTCTTGTGTTGCGGCCATCTTGCGATGAAGCTCTTGAATGGTGGCCATGTTGTGAAGAATCTCATGATGTGCCGGCATGACGTGAGCAAGCTCTGGCTTGGCAGAAGTGACGTGAGCAGGCCCTGGGGTAGCAGACATGACGTTAGCAGACATGAAGTGAACAGGTTCTGACTTGGTAGATATGACATGCGTAAACTTTGACTTAACTGGCATGATGTGAGCAGGTCCTGGAGTAGCAGGCGTGACGTGAGCAGGCTGTGACTTGGCAGACATAGAGCTGTAGTCAAGTCCAGCTTTGTCGAGTCCAAGACCAGGACTAGTCGAGACCGAGTCCAAAGAGGTTCGATTCCAAGTCAAGTCCAAGTCCAAAAGTTTTGAGTCTAAGTCAAGCCCGAGTCCAAATAAGAGAAAAAAAAGGATCCTCTTCAAGACCACATGCGATGCGAGAGACAGCATATCTCCTATTCTAAGAAAATAACTTTACATTATTATTTGTAATGATCAAAAAGCATGTGCAAAGTAACAACTCTGTAGGACAGGGGTCTCCTAACTGGCCTTAACACACCTATCCTATTATAGCAGACATATCCACTGATTTGCATTGATTTTACCTTTCTAATAGTCCTGCACGATATGAGGAAATTCTGCTATGTGTGATAACAGTGGAGGTTTTTTTTTACAATGATGATTACTTGTGATAAATAAATGAATAATTAACTGTGCATATTAGGGCCAACAAATAAAACTAAATATTTTTTTTTGTTTTTTTGTTTTTACAGAGATGAGCATTACAACCAATGACATACGATTCCATTGAGTTTATTAATGCAATGGCCAATCAAAGGCATTCAGATGAGTCATCGCTGAAATGCCAGAGTTTTGTTGAGTGCTGAATTCTGCACTCTGGCGCCTAAATCCACCAACTCTGCTATTTCATAGCACGTTTCGGTGCCCATTGCTAAATAACATGTTCATACTGCAATGACAATGAAAATAAACCATAGGAGAGCAAGCATAGAGCGCAGGCTACAGAGAAGGAGAAAGCGGCGCGCCTAGCGTTTTCCAAGCTTTTTCAGGCTCGACATGCAAATGTGGTTTTGTTTTGAAGGAGAAAAAAAGCATATTGCTGGACTCGGTCGAGACCAACGAGAACATTTGGCGAGTCCAATGACCAAGTCCGAGACAAGTCAGAGTGCAAACATCAACGAGTCCGAGACCATAGAAAAATGTCTCAGAGACCGGACTCGAGTACTACAGCCCTAGGCAGACATGACGTGAGCAGGCATGACGTTAGCAGACGTTGGTGTAGCAGACATGACGTGAGCAGGCTGTGGCTTGGCAGACATGATGTGAGCAGGCTTTGGCATAGCAGACATGATGTGTGCAGGCTGTGGCTTGGCAGGCGTGATGTTAACAACACCAGACAAGACAGTCGGGATGGGAGCATGCTCTGGTGCAGAGGGTACAGCACAGTTGCGGGACTCCTCAGCCATCCCAACAGTAAGAGGTGAACCAGCTAGCAACAAAGCATAGTCAATATATTTCTCCAGTGACCAACGAAATCTTTCTCCCAGGCAACTGAGAACGAATGGGTTCATTTAAACCCACTCGAAAAATGTCCTTAAGGGCCACATCATTAAAAACCACCAAATGGCACAGTCCACAAAAGTCCTCCACATAGTACTCTATGGTCCGACTTCCCTGACGAAGGCTCAGAAGGCGAACAACTGCTGGTTGTGTATTCTGTAACGAATTAGTCCACTGAAGGTGAGTGTAGTGAGAACCCATGTGCAGTTTTATTTACAAGTGATCCAAACATCCAAACAATAAACGAAGACTTGACTTGACTTGACTTGACTTGACTTGACTTGACTTGACTTGACTTGACTTGACTTGACTTGACGAGGCATGAACAGACTAGACTCACCGACCGCGGGTTACAACTTCAATACACACCCAGGGCTCAATGGGAACATGAAGGCTACTTATAGCAGACAAGGAGGGTCACATGACATGAACAAACCAATGGGGAACAAGACACATGACTAAGACTACCAATCAGAACATGACACATACACAAGGCAGATATACATGAGGGCAAGGGAAGCATGACACAAACAGCATGAAACAATTACAAAATAAAGGACATGAAAACATGAACATGAAACAAACACCAAACCCCACATTTCAATATATTGCACACCCCTAGTCTGAGTATATTTCTCTGGCAGATTCAAATTGTTACAGGCTGCATTTTCATAAGATGTGCTGGATTTGCTCCAGAAATTATTTTAGAAACCAAAAGCAAATTTGTTTTATTTGAAAACGTAGGCAGTGTTCTTTATCATTGTTCCAAGGTATATGTAATTTCTTTGCTATCATGCCACTTGTAGAAATCAAACATAGCTCCTTTTAATGTACTGCTTGCTCGATTTATAGAGTGTCCTGTCTGCCAGCATAATCCTTCCTGCAGGTACCGTTTGCTGAATTCTGGTGAAATAAAAAGAAATGAGGTGGGTACTCAGTAGATCTGTGTGGGTGGACAAATATTTCCAAGAATTCTGTGAAGTTTCGGCGTAGGTGAGTCTTGATTGTATTTTCACTCTGTTCTGAACAAGAGATGCAGGAAAAACTACAATTAGACATACAAGTGTAGAAATATGCTGTGTAATTTCCAAATTGCCTTTTTAACCACTGTAATATTATATTGCACTGAGGTCTGTCTGCTGTCCTCTAGGGATGGATTGGTAATTTTGATCTCAAAAAGAGAGATGCTGAGCCACAAAACTGCTGGAACAAATTTAATTCAATATTTTTTTACTTTGACCACTAAGCTTCAGTCCTGTCAGCATGATGAACAAGAGTATGAAATCTTAGTGCGTGCTTGAATTGTAGGGAGAATTACGCCCCAATTCTGTTTCATTCCTCTGCCATTTTTTAAGGCACTGGCTCTTAATCTGTCCCCGTAGGTGGTGGGGGATGGTCTCCGAATGGAGGCGACCAACAATCTTGGCTACAGCTAGACCTACGAGACAGGCTGAAGGTCACATCCATTGCTACCCAGGGTCGGTGGGGCAGCTCTGACTGGGTTACTCGGTACCAGCTACAGTACAGTGACTCTGAACAAACCTGGAGACCATATAGACAAGAGGATGTGATTTGGGTGAGTCTAGCTAATTTCTGGAACATATGCATTTTGAGTGATTGCCTAGACATTATTAGGCATTGTTTGAATCATGGGACACGAATGATGAGGAAATATTTGCACAAGTGAGAAATAAAACCATAGCAACCTTAACTAAATGGAAGAGAATGACAGATAAAACCTCAGACACACATATAAACAGGTCCTGTAATAACTCAAAATGTCCAAATGGCACTACAGAGAACATTATTAATGTTTTCATTTTATATATGAAAACTGTTTTAGCACACTCAGTGCCAACCTTCAGGGCATCAAGAGTCACTCCTGAGACTGAGTCAGGTCCTTTTTATGTTTGTACAGTAATGTTACAGATTAGGAAAAAAAACATCAAAATGCTGAACTCTTAGAGGAGACCATATTTAGCATATGCTTTGTATCCGAAGCTACAGAAGGTGTATTGTGTAATATGTTAATTTAGTATTATTTATATACAATTATAGTATTTATTAAAGGGTTAGTTCACCCAAAAATGAAAATTTTTACTGTAAGTGTTTTACTTACCCTCGAAGCATCCTAGGTGTATATGACTTTCTGCTTTCAGACGAATCCAGTTGGAGTTATATTAAAAATTGTCCTGGCTATTCCAAGCTCTATCATTGCAGTCAGCGGGTGTTGCAGTTGAACAGTCCACAAGTCGTCAAATAAAGCTTGCGCATTCATAATAAAACGTGCCGCAGACGGCTCCGGGGGATGAATAAAGGCCCCCTGTAGCAAATCCATTTGTTTTTGTAAGAAAAATATCCATATTTCAAATGTAATAAACACTTTTCTCTCACTTCCGCAGACGGTCATACACTGAAGCAGTTCCGGTGGATATATCTAGTTAGCCTTATTTTTATTTCAGTGTCAGTTTTAGTAATTTTTGTATTTTTGTTCTAGTAATTTGCCAAAGCAACATTTCTGATACGTTTTTCATCTAATGTTCATAATTTTATTTACGTTTTTTTATAGAAAATTTATTTTTAATTTTTTTAGTTTTGGTTGCTGATAACAACACCGACTCTGTAGAGCCACTGTGGGTTTTGCTTATGGGCATAATAATGTTACACCTGCAAAATAATTTTATTATTTTACTCCATTTGACTGTCAAATATTCCAGCCTATGTTTTGATTAAAATTACAAGGATCTGAATAGTGCATGTGGCATTGATACAAGATGCAATGAAGCACAAGGCATTATGATGAACTGTGTTTGGTGATGGAATTTTGTTTGGAATATGTTGATAAATTATTCTCCCTGTCTGAGATCAATAAAACACACTTCGGGTCACTTAAGACCTGTCAGTGCATGTGGCACATACAAATGATTCATTAGACTATGTTAATTAATCCTGCAGTTCTCTAGTGGCTCGGTTTCTGTGAAGTGATTTTCCTCTCTTCAACACAGAAGAAATTTAAATGGACCTGATCTCTGTCTTGCACAGCATTCCATCGTCTTATTTTGAGTACATTTAATTGTCCTTCTGACTAAAATTCAAAATTGCAGTGTTAAATTTCACAGAAATGTCAATCAATCTTGTGTTCCTGTTTATTCTAAGGTTGCTTTGTGAGGTCTTTCATGTTTAAAGTTTCATAAAAAACACCAAATTCTAATAAACTGATGGGAGGAAGTATTAATTATGAATGAATTCTTAAGCATCCAGAGTCCACTGTGACAATACTGGTGACACAGTGACTTGAGCATTAATTATCCTGAAGGACATCTTGCTAATTTACTTCATTATTTTAGATTTTTAATTAATAAGATGATTATTGCCCACTGGGATGACTTAATAGTAATTTGAGCAGGAAGAAACCCTATTGTGTGGCAAGCAACCCCTGTAGAAACATGTACATTTGATACTTGTGTTATGTCTGTGAATTCTAAGATAAATAAAAGAGTTGGTTGACCGAAATTCAACATAGAAATATAAAAATAATCAATCTGTTCAGCCTCCAGTCCAACCAGCAGGTTTCTTTTCACCTTGAAATATCAATGTCACCAACAGAGATGGTGTGAGCTTTGGTGTGGCCAAAAGGATACATGTGAAAGGAGAAGCTGAGCTTATCCTTGCTGTTGGGCACACACTGGCAGTAGGACCTTGAATTTTGCTTGTTTACCTATTCAGAGGAAATCATCTCACAGAGGTGCCAGTCTGAGCCAATGTGAGTTGCCATGCCAGCTGGAGCAGATGCCAGTGAGTCAGACAGCCAGACAGACAGAATCCGATGCCATCTGTTTGATGCCAGAATACAGTCACACACTTTTCCTAAACCAAAACACGCTGCCCATTAGATAAGGGTCTTCTCATCACTACTGCCCACCAGCTACTAGCCATTAATCATGGTAAACATATGAGTCAGTTTAAATCTAAATGGTGTGATTACATGATATTAATGAAACAATTCTGGCTGTGCATTTGTGTTAATGTTTTTGGACTGGTAATATGTCAGTAATTTTGTGTGTATGTACGGATATATATGGATAGACAGGAAGGATGAAATGCAAATATATATATATATATATATATATATATATATATATATATATATAGTAGGGTCGTCAAAAATACCGACTTCGGTAC